AATATAAAAAAGAAAGCCTGTGTCTTCCTGAAAGATTCTACCCCGCTCCAAGTCTAAAGATTGTCCTAGATGTTGAAAAATGTTCAAAGAAGTACTTGATACTGAAAAACCTTTCTTTGTGATTTGCAGTAATTTCTACTAACACGACCCAAGCTCCCAGTTTTGTCCCGCTTTTTCTTAAAACTCCAGGATGAAAGTCTTTGGAACGTGGAACTGCCACGTCTGAAGGAGCCAGACAGCACAGCACCCTTCCAGGGTTCAGGTTCCCCATCTCCCACATTTTCTGTCATAACAAATCTCCCAGATAATTGAGAAGAGCTGAGATCCTGCTTGCCAGCATGTTTCAGAAATCAAGACATCAAACCACCAACTAAAATTTTCAGTAACAGTAACAATCAGTCTCAGTAAAGAGACTTGTTCAATCACTTTTCTGCATGGAAATTTTGCATGGAAATGTAAAATCTAAAAGATGTATAGAGGAAACATCTCAAGAAGTTTATTGTCTAGTGCCTATTTATTTTCACCCCACAAGTTTCATTAGGCCCTTCTAACTGGATGTATCTGTCTTTAGGAGCACGAAGGCACCTGCCCTTCAGTATTCTATGCAACTCCTAATCTTCAGATCACCCTATGAAGTTTCATGGGTATCCACTTGTGTTTGTAAGACAGGTATATAACAATAACCCACCTCCAGCATGCAGGGACTTGCTTCCCTGCTACGGCCTTTTTAAAAGGCCTGAGGAAGATTTGTGAATCACACAAATTCAGTGGTAACTGAACATTTAACCTATGTGTCTCAGTCTTCATAGAAGAAATGCATTTTTGATAGTGTGCTGAGAAAGAGAAATCTTATTTTTATATTAAAAAAAAAATATTTTTTCATGCTAGGAATATGTTATACAAAAAGAATCTTGAACTTGACCTTCTCCCTCTTGCCTTGAAAAGGGTCAGAAAGATCTCATGGAAAATCAGGACTGCTTGTCTTTGCTTTGGAGATAATTCATGTATTTTATCTATTAGTTACTGTGATGCAGTAAGAATGACTGCTTTGCTTCAGTAACTTGTAGAAATTGTCTAGACAATATATTTATAGCAGCACAACTTATCTAGACCACAAATAATCAATTTAACCATCAGAAGTTACAATTTAGAATTTATCTCCCTGTTATAAAAACAGATGTTTTTAAAGCTTTTACTTACAGCTTATCTAACTGTCTTTTTCCAAGGCAAGAAATAAACAAGTTGCTAATTATTCGACAGATTAAGGTGTCCTGTATACTATATTCTGTTATAGCATTTAACTAACAATAAAACACAACTATTAAACCACTGGGGAAACACATACATATTAAACAACCACATCACACAAGGAGAAGTGTGTCACTATCAAAATTGAGTTGCTGGAGCATTATTTAATATCAGGTAAGGCACTTCTCCCGTTCTAATTTCAGTCAACATTGTGGTAATACAGACAAAAAGTTGGAAACAGGAACAGATAATGGCTTAGCACCTCAAAGTTGATTGAAGGAGAGGAGACAAAGAAGTAACAACACCCTTTAAAAAACCAGACCCAAACCAATCCCTGTCCTACATATGCAGAACTATGATCAGTCCTTTGCACTTGCTGTATCTCAGACTTTGAAAGTGACAAATGAAGAAGTAACATCACCCTTTAAAAAAACAGACCCAAACCAATCCCCGTCCTACATATGCAGAACTATGATCCACCTTTGCACTTGCTGTATCTCAGACTTTGAAAGTGACAAAAATCAGGAGACATGCTATTTGCCATGCACCAAAAAAAGAAGCTACAGTTGAGCACTCATTGCCTATCTAAGTATCATACTCCCAACTGTAATGATCCCCTGCACTGGAATTTACAAGGTACTTACCTGTCAATGGCTGTGGGAAAGGGAAATTTAATTCACTTCAGAGATGCTACCACTTAACATACTTAAAAATCAAAATAGAATCAGGTTGATTTAACTCCAGTATAATGCTTTTTATGTAGAGATTTCCTGCTGTTTTCAGAGACAAGTATCTGCTCTGTTAACAAGTGCCCAGAGTCCCCTAGGAGAAGAAAGGCTGCCACAAAGTGAAAACCAATTTAAAGCACCACCAGACTATGCCCAGTGCAAGCTAAAGTGACAAAAATCAGGAGACATGCTATTTGCCATGCACCAAAAAAAGAAGCTACAGTTGAGCACTCATTGCCTATCTAAGTATCATACTCCCAACTGTAATGATCCCCTGCACTGGAATTTACAAGGTACTTACCTGTCAATGGCTGTGGGAAAGGGAAATTTAATTCACTTCAGAGATGCTACCACTTAACATACTTAAAAATCAAAATAGAATCAGGTTGATTTAACTCCAGTATAATGCTTTTTATGTAGAGATTTCCTGCTGTTTTCAGAGACAAGTATCTGCTCTGTTAACAAGTGCCCAGAGTCCCCTAGGAGAAGAAAGGCTGCCACAAAGTGAGAACCAGTTTAAAGGAAAGAATACTCCACAGAGAAGCATGTGCCAAGCACCACCAGACTATGCCCAGTGCAAGCTCCTCTTTACAATATATTTATTGTATGCTGGCTAATGGCACATTCAATATGGCTTTTGTACATCAGCCAATCTATTCATTTAACTTTTTGGGTAAGTAAATTAAATAGATTAATAAGCAGGATTACGTTGTTTTAATTCTGTCCTAAGGAAGCATTCAACTAGAGCCAGAGCTACGCTGAAGTCTGCAGCACCGCTGCCTTCCCTTGCCTCCTGCTAGACCAGTTTTGTGATGTTTTCTGTTTTCCCTTCTATACAGCATTTTCTTCCAATTTAAATGTTTTATCACCTGGCACCAAATCAAATAAAAGAGACAGAAGTGCAAAAAAGAGAAAAAGGCTTTTTCTATATGTCTATTCAGGACATTCAACTTTGGAGGCTTTTTTCATTTTTAATTTATTTAAATGATGTCAAGTAGGCAATTGAAAGATCCAATCTTCTAATTACAACTAGTCCCATAAATGATCAGTGTTTTTTCATGCTTACCCCCACCTCTGTAAATGCTGCATAAATTTAAGCCAAACATCTATCGGTGTTAATCTCCATATTTTTAATGGAGTAAATATTACTGAACACTTCTGAAAAATTCTCCTCTGCAGAGAGGGTGGTACATTTTGTGGCTCATTCTTTTTCTTGCTGGAAATACGTACCTCTGTTTAGAAAAAATACATTTTATGTTGAACATCTTATAACATTGCTTTGGACAAAATTGGTTTTGTTTCCACGCATTCACTTTTGCAGTTTTCCTTATGATTGGATTACCTAGTAAATTTTAAATAGCTATTGTTCTTGTCAAGCCTCAAGCTACATAGTCTTGGATTGGTTAAGTTCATGAATAGTGGCAGACAGTTTAAGACCTTAAAAAATAATCCACAAGAGAAGAGAGTCCTGAGTTTTATCAACACAGTCAAATTGAGCCTGGCTTTGTATGTACTTTAAGGGTGTGATAGAGGTAGTGAGTCCCAACCAGTATTTAGGCTCCAGTATTTAATAAATTTGTTGTCAAACTGGTCAATCCAGTATTTTGTTGCTATTTAAAACTCTACACGCTTTAGACAGACTTTCAAGAATTCTCAAAGCAAATCAAGAGGCAAAGTGGTATTTCTCTTTTAGGGAACACTATAATATTGACAATTCCAGCTAAACTGGGTCAACATTGTCTCAGTTGCAGAAAGTCTGGGTTTAGAGAATAAGACAGCACACTCTCACATGACTGAAGTACTTACACTTACTAAGTGCATGGCAAGCTTTCTTTAGCTGCACTGCAAAGGAAACATTCAATTTTCATTTAACAAAACATTTAAGAAAATAATATCTAAGTTTGCATAAGAAGTGTCACTACATTACAGGAGAAAACTGTATCTTCTTAGCTATGGTGTAGCCCACAACCCATACTGTAAAGCCTCTGACCTTTCTTTCCTTCAGACACTTGTTTCAGGTTGTTTCTTCATTCTGTTTTAGACAGAATACTTATATAGTGTTCCTTTGTTTCAGATAAAACATTTCTGACTGGTCCTGGAAAACAACTCCCAGAAAATAACTCGGTAGCATGTGGGATACCTCCCATAAAGACACTCATTAGTAAAGACCTAAGCATTTTCTTCTTTCCTATTCCTATTCCTCAGGGGGATAGTCTGTTACAGAGATAAATTAGGATGTTCAGTGATTTAAAACTAACTGTTGAAAGTAGCTGCATAACCCACTAACAAAAGTCTAAAGCATCACTTAAATCATCCCCATGGCTGATTGAGAGACTGATTGACCCAAACTATTTGAGATATGCTGTACGCTCTATTTTATGCCATCTCTGTTACTATTTAAGAGCCATGATAGAGATCACAAGTTAATTTTCTAAGTTACGAAAGTCAGGTTAATGAAAGGGATTTCTCATGCTACTTACAACTCCCTGCATGTATAAAAAAGCTCCAACATGTGTCATGCCAATGCCTCTGCTGAACATCACATGAAGACCTTTTATTGGTTCACAGCACTCCTTATGACACCAGGGGTCACGTCCTTTGAGTAAACAGACTCAAGAAACTGTGGTGAACTAAAAGTATACCATACTTAAGAGCATGTCTTTAAAAAAAAAAAAAGAGAAAAAGAAAAAGATAACTTTCCTTCACCTGAAAGAATGGCAAGTGAAATACTTCTACTTGTTATTCTGCTGGTTCACACCATCACCAAATATTTAGTTATAAAAAGGAATAGGCAAGTATGAATATTCTCCCTAGTTAAAGGCACTGACATATGAAAGTTACCAGTAGGAACCATTCTCCTCTTCATTGAGCACAACTGCAGGAGCTAAACGATTCTACAAAACTGATCAATGATTTCGTTTTTATTAGCAGGAATATGAATTATATCTTTATATATTAGATATATATATAGAGATATATATATCTATTATATCTAAAGTCTTTGGACTTTATAACATACCTGTCTCAACCCTGAAGCAGAAATGAACAACAAGAAAAAAATCACCCCAAATCCTGTCATCATACCCAAAGTTACTAATCTGAATTATGCTGACTCCAGCATTTATTTACTACTGTCTGTATTCATGCCATTGATGTATTTCTAAGTAGAAACGTGTATGTTACAGCAATATACTTACAGCAGCTGTGTTCTTCACTGCATTTCCTACAATCACCACGACTCTTCCTTTAAAGCTCTGGAGGGTGGCAGTTGCTGGGCACTGGACAAGATCCCCTTCTGCAGTAAATGCTGATGCAAAGGGGACATTGATGCTGCCAGAAAGGTGGCCACGGTTAAAGCTTAGGAAGATCAGTTAAGGACATCTGAAAGGCTGAGAAACCTGTGGTATATGCACAGCTGTAGAATGAACCTGCTCTTTGTTCTGGTGGTTGTGATATAACAGCATTGGTCTTTTGTGCTAGTGTATTTTGACAAACCTCATTTACAGTTTACTCATATGGAGCAAATGACTTCCGACACTGTATCAAAAAAAGGACAGAACAAAGTGTTGTTTGTTTCACAAAGGACATAGCACAGCACTCCAGAAACTGATCAGCTAAATGAAACACTGGGTACTAATAAACCAATATCTACAGTATGACATATTTTTGTGAATTTTACTTCAAAATAGATCTAATCTGAACAGGAATCAAATGCCAATAAGCAGCTGGAGCACCTCTTCCAGAGGAGCTTTATGCAAAAGGAATGAAGCATTTAGAATGAGAACCAAAACTAAATAAGGATTATTAAGCTCCTGCCAACCCCTGCAAGCCCCTACAACTTTGACCCAAACTGAGATTCTCATGTACATGCACTCAGATTCCTGGACAATGAGCATCATGTACATTATCTGCAGTTCCACTAACAGCGGGTGCCTGTTGGACACTGAAAAGCAAACAACACACTCTGAACGTTGTCTGCCAGCGACTCTGAGATATATTAGCTGTGTTTTAATTTCAAAAAGGATGATCATTCAATGAGATTTTACAAACAAATATTGAATGTGAAAGTCTCTTCAGTAAAAATTAACTTGGAGCACTATTACCTAGCTTTTGATGGATTTAAAAATGTGCCATGACTTTGATAGATCTCTGAATTACTTCCACAGACCGTACACACATGCCTGGAACACTCCCCTTCCCCCAAAATAAACAAGAACAGCTTTGAAGAGATGGGAAACAGCAGAGTTCTGCAAAAATATACACAATGTTAAATAACGAGATCAGTCACTCTTTAGTACTTCATTACTTGCAGAAAGCTAGTTTCATTTATAATTAAATCCCAGAGTTGTTTTTATAAAGGAATTATCTTAAATTGAGGTAAGATTTAATTCACTCAGCCTAATGTAACCATTCATTTCTCTTGATTTATGTAACAGTTTCAGCTTTATGATCATCATTCTTACAGTGTGGGAAAAACATGGCTATATAAAAACATTTGGAAAACAAAAGATGATGACATACCATTCATTAATGTTACCAGTTAGTTTCTATTTTGAAGGGGAAAATTATGACACCCTTCCTTCACGACTCTGTGCCAACCCCCTTTCCCCAGCCCCATTTATAACCACACCGTTCCCATTGCTACTAAACAGAGCAAAAATTCGGAAACAATCCTCATTTAGATAGAAAATAACTTTGGACAGATTTAGCTGCTCACTCTTATGCCATGGCGTGTGCTTAACTGCTCAGAGAAACCTGACCAAATCTTTTAAAAAAGAAATACATTTAATCTGAACATTAGTACCACGCTAGATAGATCCAAACTATTTGCTGTTCTTTATATTCTCCCTAATCTTAAGCGGTCATTTTAAGCATCCCAAGTACTACATCCCTATTTGCTGTTCTTTACATTCTCCCTAATCCTAAGTGGTCATTTTAAGCATCCCAAGTACTACATCCCAATTAACAAAAAGGCCAAGATTTCATGCTACAGACAGACAGTAAGTAAGCAGCTGTAACTTTCCTAACAGGAATGGGAGGCTGCCAGCATTTCTGCTAACGTGCTTAATGAAACGAGCCTTAGAAGAATTGCTGGCCAATAGAGACCCTGCTTCCAGTATATTACCTTTTCATTAGAAAGTCTTGTGTTACAAAGCTGTCTGTTGGGGAAAAGGGCCAGTAGCCCTTGGCCTTGCAACATGAGCTTCATTACCAAACAATGCCTCAGCTTTCAAGTGCATCCGAGTGTGAAATATGAAGCATGTCTGATACTTGTTGAGAGTCCTCTCATGCTTTTCTCAAATCACACTGAAAACCAAGTGAGAGTGAAGTTGAGCATGACAGGCAGAGACGATGAGGAAGATGAACAACAAAACGTAAGAAACGATCATATTCTTGAAACACCTCACACTGGTCTGTCACATTTTAAAACACACACCACAGAAGCACAGAGGCTGCCTGATCCTACTGTACAGTTTGTTGAAATTTTGTGACAATCACAGACTGTTTTCTTACTGCGAGTAAGAAAAGGACACTGAGCACAGGATTCCTATGGCTTCCCATGTATATTCACAACTGCTGACAGTTTAATAGCATCCTATATACCATATGTTTTCTTCTACAACTGACATCCAAACCAACTCGCTCAAGGAGTAATTTTACTACCTAACAGACTGGGTTTTTAATAATGATATTCCCTACTTCCAAATACCAGATGGTTATTAGGATTTACAGCCACCCATTATTTAAAGGACAGGACATTTTAGGGTACCATAAACTCCAACCAGACCGAAAGAAACAGCAGCAGTGATTACAGCTATGGAGATTTTCTCTCTCCAGCATGCCTCCTCATTCAAGAAATACATATGGAAAATCTGGTTACATGTTTTTAAAATGAAAGACAGCCTCATGAAACCACTTACTTCATAATAGTCAAATGCTTTTTAAAATGACTGAAATTTGGAATGCACTCTGCTCCAGTAGAATAGGATTAGTACAACAGTACAGTAGGACCTATTAACAAAGTATCAGGGAAAATATAGAAACATTTAAACAAACGCCTTGCCTTTGATCATGACTAATATAAATAAATCCATTACTGTTCACAGATAACAGCCTTTCAGTGCCATGTCTGTAGTATAGGCATTTTGTATTACTCACTCTCCTTCCACATTCTCCTTGATGATTTCTAGGAAGTTGCTTAAATAATTAATAACAGAATGATGCAGAAATAGAAACATTCTTTAACTTGGTAGTATAAAAGTTTTATGCAGTAACAATAGGCTGTTACAGTTTTTAATTCCAAGGACTTCTCTTTTTAACTGGAGTCTAAAAAGTACTATCTCTTGATGAAGAAATTATCTCTCAGAAAATAGCCTGCATTTTTACTGTTTTCTGAATAAAGAGGACCACATTTTCAACAATCTATATCTAGGAGCAAAGAAGCTGCTGGAGTCCAGAAAATAGAGTCAAACTGTACTTAATTGGAATCCTTAACTGATGCATGAAATTAATACATGCAAGCAAAAGAAAAATTATGGTTTTGTGTTCTTTTGACCATTCTGTTTTATCTACACAGCAGATCACATTACAGATTCAAGTTTGGCATACAATATATTTATAATTCCTTGAAAATAACAGTTTTAATTTAAAATGGTAGTCCAATTATACTATTCTTTTTCACTACGTAAATAATAAATTTACCTCTACATAGTAAAAATAGTATTTTTCTTCTTTACCATACATAGTCATAAGTATTGCTAAATATTAATAAAGAAAAATGTTAGTGGCAGTGGTTTTCTGCATATACAATTACCTATAAAGTGGTATTTTAACAAAAGATGTAAAAAAAAAAAAAAGGTTGAAACATTATTTAAATTTTTACTATGTATTTTAGCCCAAATAGTGCATTGATCCACAATTCACTTCATTGTCCAGAATTGACATTTTTCTAATATGCATGCAGTTGGTTAGTAGCATTTGTTAGACGTTGGAAGATCTTTTCTAATGCTAAAGATGTTGGGAGCCTGTTGAATCTCTGTCATTGAAGATCTTTAAGAATAAGCCAGACATATATAAAAGGAACGATCTTCCTTTCTAAGAAAAATGTTAGTGGCAGTGGTTTTCTGCATATACAATTACCTATAAAGTGGTATTTTAACAAAAGATGTAAAAAAAAAAAAAAGGTTGAAACATTATTTAAATTTTTACTATGTATTTTAGCCCAAATAGTGCATTGATCCACAATTCACTTCCTTGTCCAGAATCAACATTTTTCCTAATATGCATGCAGTAGGTTAGTAGTGTTAGTTAGACATTGGAAGATCTTTTCTAATGCTAAAGATGTTGGGAGCCTGTTGAATCTCTGTCATTGAAGATCTTTAAGAATAAGCCAGACATATGTAACAGGAATGATCATCCTTTCTCAAAGTAAAAGGTGGACTAAAACTCATGATGTTTTTGTTATTTTTCTATTGAGTATTGTTTGCCTATTAAGAATTATAGCTTGTGACATAGCAAGCTAAGAGTACATCTCCTGCAAAAACAACTACCTACATTACTTTTGCTATTATGAAAGGATAACACTTAAATACTGAAAAAAATTATACAAAACAGGAACAAGTATATACAAACCAAGAACAAGTATATTCCCAAATACTCAGTACAGCCCTAAGAGTTACCTCTAATAAAATATTGTTGTTATTCCCACTTTTAGATGCAAAAAAAACCTCCACATGCAAAGAACCACGTATTCAAAAAAGAACAAAGTAAAGTGTAGACAGGGTAGCAACCCTGTTAAAAATATAGCTTCAAGAGCAAGCTAAGAGTACATCTCCTGCAAAAACAACTACCTACATTACTTTTGCTATTATGAAAGGATAACACTTAAATACTGAAAAAAATTATACAAAACAGGAACAAGTATATTCCCAAATACTCAGTACAGCGCTAAGAGTTACCTCTAATAAAATATTGTTGTTCCCACTTTTAGATGGATGTTGACAAAGATGTGTGTTCCTTGTAAAGCACATCTGTAACAAGGACTCCCTCTTTCAAAACCCAAACTAACCCAGCTCCATAACCACACTATTTCTGAAAAACAAAAAAATACTCCACATGCAAAGAACGACATATTCAAAAAAGAACAAACAAGTAAAGTGTAGACAGGGTAGCAACCCTGTTAAAAATATAGCTTCAAGATAGCTGATAATCAAAAGTATTAAAGGTAACTAGAGGAAATAAGTTAGGGCAGCCATATGGCTGCATTGCCTGACAGTAGTAAGAAGGCCCTCAATTTTCGCTGAGGGATTGGCAAAGCACATGAGCTACCAACTCTTCCCTGTCCCTCTTCCACTTAACTGGAAAGCCTCACACCCTTCCAAAATATTGGTCATATTAAATCACACAGCTGTCAAAAAAAAAAAAAAAAGAAAATTAAAAGCATTCATGTTACTGATACAAAGTGGTTTCGCTTAGACCCACAGCTTAAAAAGGGAAGGCAAAAATACATTTGTCCTCCTCTCTGCAAAGCAGGCCTCTCCTTGACAAAAAAAAATTGCCTTTGGTCCTTCCAGTGTACCCCTACCATGTGCTTTTCCATTATTTACCATTCTAACACCTCACTGCCTGCAGACAGAGAGGAAAGTATTAAAGGTAACTAGAGGAAATAAGTTAGGGCAGCCATATGGCTGCATTGCCTGACAGTAGTAAGAAGGCCCTCAATTTTCGCTGAGGGATTGGCAAAGCACATGAGCTACCAACTCTTCCCTGTCCCTCTTAAGCATTCATGTTACTGGTACAAAGTGGTTTCGCTAGACCCACAGCTTAAAAAGGGAAGGCAAAAATACATTTGTCCTCCTCTCTGCAAAGCAGGCCTCTCCATGACAAAAAAAAAATGCCTTAAGTCCTTCCAGTGTCCCTCTACCACGTGCTTTTCCATTATTTACCATTCTAACACCTCACTGCCTGCAGACAGCAAGGAAGTAATTGATATAAGCATGATTTGGCAAGGTCGGCACTCAAATTTGAAGGATACTCTTCGCTGTTACGGATGTCCACCACCAGCAGCTTTGGCTTGCTAGGTTTTGTTTTCTTTACAGGTGTTTTGGAATGACTAGGTCCTGTCAACTCACACAAATCAATCAGATCTTCTGCTGAAATTCGTGGTGACACCTCTGCCTTCAGGTCATCCAACTTGATGGAATCCCTAGACTTTAAAAGAAGAAAATTAATATTAGAGGTGATAGAATTAGAGACATGGTGTTCTTTGAAACTTCTCTTTATTTGACAACCTCAAAGTCTAACAACCCTGTCAGACAGAAATAGATCTTTTCCTTATAACTCTGAACTAAACCATCCATATAGAAAAGCTCCAGAGCAGTGCCAAAAGCCTACCTGCCAATTGTAGCCCTATTTTCTGTTGAAGTTGTTAAAAAATAAAATTGTTTGACAATCTGTGCAAACTATCTTAGTTTGTGATTTGTTAATGAATTATTCACTGTGGCTGAAGGAGTTAAAAAACTCACAGAATGTTTCTCAGCATCAGAAATTAAATAAATTGGCTAGAAAGCATACTCTGGAAAGCTTCATGCTTGGAGTTGGAGCAGGAAAGAAGGGTAGCAATTGAGGACTTGGCACAGAAACTGCAAGGATGTCTCTGTAAGATACAGAGCTACCTAAACACCAGGACTTACCCCAGTCCAAAGACTAGACACAAATCAGGACACCAGTAATTTAAGAAATAGTTCTGTATTATAAACCAGAATATTTGTTCCTTAGTTTGGGATATAGGGGGAAATTGGGGGACAGGGAAACTGGGGGATGGGACAGATGACGACACAACACATACCACCACACACCTGGTAGCACTCAAGTGATTAGTTTGACAATACTTAAATCGTTTTTCACAAGAGAGCCTTCGTTGTGAATTATCTCAGAAATATTCCTAAGCACAAGCATTTCTTCACTTTACATTCTTAAAAGCTCATGCATATCTAAATTAAGGAAAAAAAGAAATTAACCTTATTTTTGTGGTTGTTTTTTTTTTTTTTCTGTTGTTGCCATTGTCTCAATCTGAAAAATCACAGGTAAATTTTAAAGCAGCTTGTTTTCATTATGGTTTAATCCAGCAGATACAGAGTTAACAGGCTGGTTGCATATGCAAAAAAACCCCAATCATTATGGTAATGAACGTACTCCAACAGTTATATACATCAAAGATATACCTATGGAGCTTAGTCATTTCACAACCCAACTGGCTTGGCTTGTGCAACTGTTGTGCTCCTGTTGAGCAAGAGGTTAAATAGAATGGTTAGAGTTGGAAGGGACCTTAAAGATCATCAAGTTTCAACCCCCTGCCCTGGGCAGGGACACCTCCCACCACACCAGGTTGCTCCAAGCCCCATCCAGCCTGGCCTTGAACCCCTCCAGGGATGGGGCAGCCACAGCTTCCCTGGGCAACCTGTTCCAGTGTCTCACCACCCTCACAGGAAAGAATTTCTTTCTGGTATCTCATCTAAATCTGCCCTCTTCCAATTTAAAACTGTTACCCCTTGTCCTGTCATTACACTGCCTGACAAGGAATCCCTCCCCAGCTCTCCTGTAGCTCCCTTCAGATATTGGTAGGAGGCAGAAATAGAGGCAGAAGTTGTTTATAACTAAGTCCACAGCTGTTTCTAGTGAGTTATTCTGGCTTGTCAGGAGACAGGAACAAACAGAATAACTAGGATTTGTTACAGGGAGCATCTTTTGAAAGATCTTCAGACTATTTTGATGTCTTATTCTTGAGGAAGACCACCTATATTAATGAAGCAGGCAACCAACTCATCATGAAGATTTGCTTGTACACTCTGCAGTTGTGCAGAACATGGGCACAGGCACACAGAGACAGACTACAGAAAGTGGAAAAATAAACAGAAAGAACAAATAGAACATTATCATGTGTTTCCTTTGAGAATGAATCTATACAGTGCAATCAAAATATAGCTCTTTCTAAGAGTATCACAGTAGCAAATTTTCTGCTTTGAAAAAATATTCTGCTTCTGTCATCTTGTTTTACATTGCAGTGATCACAGTGATTCAAGACACCATGTGATTACAGACCATGAAAAAAATTCAAGAGGAGTGATATACTAAAGGAAATGGAGGTGTTACTATTTAGTATTAGCCCAACTGACTGTTACCTCTAGCTTTTGTTTCAGTTTCTAAACATACTAATTACTCATTTAATCTGAGAACTATTCCCAGTTTAGAGAAGATCCTAGAGAAAAGAGAGAGGTATACAAATATTTGAGTTGTATCCCAGAAAAGGAGTGTTTAGACAGTCCTTCTGCTGTCAGAAATACCTGTGCTGTAAAGCAGGTTATCAAAAAGCACTCAAAATTACAAATAAAATTTGTAATTGTACTTCAGTTAATTAGCCCACCAAACTGCCTTTTCTATTGTATATGACAGTATTTAAAAAAAACCAATTTACAAACTGCTAGTCTCAGCAAGTAATTTTCTTCCAAGTTCAGAATAATAGAAGTCACAATGGTTTATAACCAGAAAAATGCTTGTTTTTCTGGATAATGTATTATTTGTTTCAACAGAATAGTCAATACTCGAGGGATATCTGTTTCCATAAAAGACAGGGCCAATTCCTAGCTGCTGTCTAAAGCCACCTCCCTGTTGAGTAGCTGGATTTCCCCAAGAGAAGTCCAAGGAAACAGACTGCATCAAAGCAGAGGAGAAGGAGGAAGAACCAAGTCAAACTCTCCTGACAAATTTCAGACTTGCCAAATGAATTCAGCAGTCCCTGTCTCGAGCAATCACAGCACACACAGGTTTGCAACATCCAAGAAAGGTAACAACGTAGAAAAAAGAGTGACTGAGACAGCTTGATTTGCCTGATGACTAGAACTGAGACATCCCTACATCCTCCTCAGGAGAAAGCTTATGGAGCAACACCAAGGAGGGAAGGGAAAGCAAGTCCAGTGCAAAAAGAATTCAATCCTTGAAGCAGGGTCAGATGATTGCAAGTAACAATAAACACTCCAGTACCAAAGTCAGGCATTATAAATGTGGACTATGCCAGTGAAGCTGGCTGAGATGACCAGAGTGAAGTCTTCTGGAGAAACATTTACATTATGCTGGACTCTAATTACACAACCACTTCCTACTTTTATTTATACAACTCTTGCCTAATTCAGCAGATGGGATGGATGCCTCATGAAAGCACACAAGTTTAAGAGGAAAGCATGAAGGCTACACCAGAAAACAAATCAGTCAAAATCCACCTAAACTGATATAAGACCATTTTCCCCTTATCTAGAAGTATAAAGCCACAAGAAGTGCTCCACAGATAGACACTATCTGTTCTGTGAATAGATTTTAGTAACCAGGACAAGCATATTTTTTTCCTTTAACTGAGTTGAAAATAAGGAGAAACACATTCAGCAGTGAATTTTACAACCATCTTTGCTTTGCTTTGATGTAGTATGCCTGTATCTGCCTCAATGGTAAATCTAGTGACACAATATCTCTATACAGACTTTGAACAAAGCTGCAACCTAAAGCTCCTTGACAGCCTTGCGGGAGATAGAATTGTTGAATCAATTCTTTCTTTTAACAACTATTTTATCAGACGATTTTATTTCCTTCAAATTTCAAGCACAGTGCCAGAGGGGAGTTAAAAGCCCAGTCACACACTTGTGTAGTGCTCCAACAGCCCAGTCAATATACTCATGGTCGTGTAAGAAATTGTACACTGACTACAACACTGAAGTTGAGAACTATGTTCATACACAGAGATGAACTGCCTGTCATTACTTAGAAAAGGTAAGAATTATCAGAAAAATACACACACATTTACACACAAGTCCACCTGTGCTGAGCTTACTACTTCAGTTGGTTTGCCTGTTTTCCTGCAAAGAAAAGAGACTTATTTTAGTGTATCCTAACTTCAAGCACAACTCGTGCTTTAGACTACTCAGCTCTAAGGAGTTCAGGAGGGAAGACTCCTTAATCAGCAGGCTGGGAACAGGAAAAAAAGTACTTAACCTGAAGTCTGAGCTCTACTTGCCTCCCAGAAGCTTCTCTGACAACACCCTAAATTCTTTACTTTCAAAACACTTTTAATTTTCAAATAGACCTGGGAATTGCTAAGCCATATGCATTTACTGCTCTTAATATGAAAAAATAGGCATTAAGAATTTTTTTTTTTTTTTTTAAATATTAGGAACTAAAGCTGCTTAAGCATCCTCAAATTAGAAGTCAAGCTTTAGAAAGATTAAAGCAGTCCAGAACATAAGGCTGGCACAATCATAGCTCCTATCTATTTTTCCATTAGCCTGTAATCTCTTACAGGCACTTCATCCTGTCCATAAATTAAGATATACATTTCTTTTTATTTTTTGAGAAAATAAGCAAGTATCTTTAGTTCTACTGAACCTGAACTTAACAGTCCCATCTGATAAACACAGGCGCTATAAAGCAACTTTTTTATCCATGGAAAGGACAGCTTTATCTGAGTAGAAGCAGGGTTTCCCCCCTTTCATGTTTGAAGTTGGCAAAACTTATTGCAGCAAATGTAATACAGGAGGAATTTCAGTCTGAAATTCAGTATAATTAAAACCCAGGGTTCAAGTAAAATAATCTATTCAAAGCATCAAAGTCCTTCATACAGAGACATGCTTCATGGTAGATGTCATTCCATATTTTTGGAACATAACGTTTTGATTTGAAATCAATGTATGCATGTATATCTATGAATAAAATGACAAAAGCATTTTTAAACCAGCTTAGAAGATAATGGTTTTAGGAGATTTCTGAAGAATTGGTCAAACAGAGAAAGACAAAAGCAGATTTACACAGCAACTGCAAACTGATGCAACTCCGAATCAAGTGTCACACTAATTTGTAACAAAGACATTGCTGTTTGTGCTTGTTTTTTACTTTAGACAACCATAATGGAAGAAAAATAATGTACTTTTTACAGTGAATTCACCCTAAATATAATACTCAATGTCATGGTGTCATCACGTAAGGTTTGGGATAAATATATTTATATAAAGCAGCACTATTTTATACCAATTAAAATACAGCAGTCAGATTAAAACAATGGTAGAAAATAAAAGGGAGAATAAGCAAGAACAGGACCCTTTAGGACAGATTTATAGGCAAAGCCACTGCCATCATGCTTTTATCAAAAAAGCAATTTTCATGACAGGGGC